ATTGTAATTAATTTAAATTATTAGTCCAAAAGATTATAAACTGTTTAACATTCAAAAGTGAACAATGTGCAAGAATGTGCTATCTACAATATTGGATGAAAAACATCATTTAGGGTGTTGACTTGACTTAACATTTTTCTGATTCCCCTCAATATTTATTCTTTTAACATAGAAGCAACATCTGATACATCCTACAAAGGACCAACTTCTGAAATTTCGGTAAGTTTTCTTTAATTTTRCTACCTATAACTTTTCATTTCAGCTTTAATGATATGCAGAAAGCYTGACGCATGCATGTCTCGGCAGGGKAATTTGATTGACGGTTTATTTAATGATGGTCTCTCCCATGMAACCACCAAACCACCACAGCAAGAACATCTTGACATCTTTCAAGGACTTCAAATTCGACAAGAAACCAAACMGTCCACAGARAATCAACTTGAACTCAATAATCTTGATTTACTTGATATTTGTGATGAAAACAAACAACACAAAAATGGAATTAATTCAAATGCTGAAGTATTYGATCCATTGGATATGGGTCATAGCAAAACAACAACAACTGGTACAAATAACATAAATGGGTCTATKCTTTCTATTCTGGTGGATGAAAAGCCTTTAAAATCAAACGCGGAATGCATAAACAGCAGTTTCCATCCTCCCAAGAAAACTGTAAATCCAGTAGATTTGTTTAGTCAACAAGATAGGAGTAAAGCAAAAGACAGTGACTTTAGTGATCTTTTGAGTTTTGGACAAAATCAATCCTGTTTAACCARTCAACCAAGTTTAACTGACCAATCAAGCTCAACGAGTCAAACCAGTTTAACAAGTCAATCCAGTTTGACAAGTMAACCAAATTTAACAAACCAATCAAGTTTAACAAGTCTRTCTGGTTTAACAAGTCAATCCTGTTTAACAAGTCAACCAAATTCAGTTGGCCAATCAAACTTAACAAGTCAAACAAGCTTGGCAAGTCAAACAGGTTTYGGTTCAGGAAATTCAATGCTACARTCTCTACTTATGTCAAAGACAAGCCAGCAGTCCACAATACCTCTGAATTTATCCAAACCATCAAGCAAAAAGACTGACTTTGATTTCTTAAGCAAATCAAAAAGAGAGAATGCATTTAGTTTTGTACAGGAYGAAATGAAAGCCAGCAAAAAGTGATAGATGATTATTTTGTATTTAAAATAGATTTTCGAGAGTTGAAACCAAATGTTTTTGTAAACAAGTGTTATTGGGAATAGTCTCTTCTGGTGAAGCCGGATTGGAAAACTGAGCTTATTGAATATTAGAACAGCAATTTAAAATTGTGATAATTGGATATTTTATGACATCAAATAGTTTTTTTACATATTTATTAAAATATTCTAAACATGAAATTCTTAGTTGTTTTTCACACTTTCTTCCCTATTTGGATTCGTAACTTGTTTTGAGGGACATTCCATCACCACAGAAATGCGATTGTTGAGATATGCCGTCATTCTTGCTGGACGAGAAGAAAAATGGTGGACTTAATAATTGAATATAAAAGTGAAAAATGTATAGAATAACAGTGATTGTCTAGTTCCAGTCTGAACTATCGCACCGAAAAGTCAAAGCGATTCAGTTTCAGTTTTTCAATAACGTTGAAATGTCGTTGTTGGCCACACATTTAGCTGTAAGTATTTATCGTTTTATACGCCGGTTTGTCAAAAACCCGAATTACTGACTTCGACGATTTGCCGCAAAAAAGGCCCGACTGCTGCRCATGAGYACACGACTCACCGCGCTGTCATCCTAACCACCGCTAAAAGCAAGAGAAATTGAGGGTTTATTTTAAAACCAGRWCTTCTCAACTTCCAATGTAGGTGATTTCATGGCTAACTGACACAAAGATGGCAGGTGGATTTGATTAAACGAAAAACATTTATGAAAGTGCGATACACCAGTTAAAACTTTATTGAATTTAATACATTTCAACTTTTTAACATGAAATACAGCGTATATTTTTATTGACAAGATGTTTTCAATAAAGCTCATTATTAGAATGMGATCCTCGAGGGAAATTAGGCCTAGGTGRTATGACGAACTTCACATGTGCCGAATTGTTCTGGTATACAGCGTTTCTTGGCTGGATCACCAATTCAAGTCCACTCATTTCTGATGATTAATTCCCAGCCTTTCACAGTAAGGCCAAGGTTATGTACGCCGAACTTCCAACGAGCCGAATACAATTCATAAATTAAATGCATGTGAGCTGTGACGTCTAAATCTATTCGACCTCACTGAATCTGCGGCTTGAACAGTCGAATGGTGCGGCCAATTGATTTATACGTCGCATTTCTTATGTGTCAAGAGTAATGCATATTTCTTATAATACTTCGTACGAAAAAGTAGTGCGTTATCCGCCATGTTGGAAAACATTTTTTTTTTCAGTCGACTAAAATAGGAATTGTATGTACGTTAAAAACCCAGAAATTGTTGGGACAAATTCTGACACAAAGCGCATTATTTTCCATAAAAAATGCATTATATTCGAGTAACTTGTATAATGCATCAATGTTTTCTCATTTATGGTGAAGCAAAAAAAAAAATTAACGAGAATAACAACGACAACGAAGAGAATGTCAAATAGCTAAATCGAATATGTCAATAGCATCAATAGATTGGATACAGAAAATGATATCCCGTATATTCAAAAGTGTTTTCCCTTTTTAATACCGCCTGAAAAGTAWWTTTCGTCACACATATTGATGTCCGCGCGGYGGGTCATCAAGAATTAAATCCATAAAAAAAGCGTTGGCGTTTTTCAAAACAGAAATACGATTTTACAAAAATAAGGAAGTTGAAAACTGTTTTTAGCCATTCAAATTAGCTCCGGATGTCTTTAGTAACGATACTTTTGAGAAAATTGTTTAAAGTCTCAAACATCTTCAAGAGGTAAGACAATTTCCTCTTTGTTGGTCGAGGAGTCCCATGAGGRCTAGAGATACAGAGAGAAAAGTATTTATAATCCGTTAACTACAAGAAGCCATTAATGACAAAAATGTCCACTGCGTTGTCCATATCAAGAATTTCTCTTTGGCGCTTCTTTAATATCTCTAATACTTCAGGCGCGCTCCGTCTACCAACTTTTTTTCAATAAAATAGTTTTGTAATATTCAGTATTTTGGCTGTGGYTTAAACACCCTATTATCAGACACGTTGACGTCATATCGGGTTATCTTTGGTCGTTAAAACACTTGAACTGGTTCAATAAGTCCGCTTTGTATTTTGAAAATATCTTTGTTATCCATGTTTTAGTAAAGAGTGTATGGCCAAAACAAGCGGTTCAATTCAATGCCTTTTGTTTTCCATTATTATGTAATGTTATTAATAAGTAGGTTTCATAATGGCATTCCTATGGAGACGCTTGGTTTTCGACCCGGAGACGCCGTAAAAACTGTCAAATTCACCACAATTTTTAATATTGAATGTAGGAAGAGTGACCACACTTTTGAGTTCTCGGACAAACTGTAACTGAAATCWGTAACCAATTTCCATTCACCAGCGATGAATTTTGCACCTTCGAAAACAGCGTAATCGATTAAAATGGAAGCTCTTTCACGTTSTGACAGAAAARTCGTCTCTATCATCATTGMWGGTTATTGCCTTTTGTTAGTTTGCAGTCCGAGGTCCCATACACGTGACCGGATGCTTCAGCCCAGAGACTTTCACAAATCTCTTGTTGTAGTCCATCAAATACATGCTTTTCGACATGAGAAGCAAGCTTCTTGAACACCATACCTTTCCTTTTTGAGTTCTCGGAGTTTTCTTTGCAGAGATTTTCTGCTGTCTCTAGCAGGTGTGAGGTCTGTTTTGCAGCCTCTAGCTTACTTTGCTCGCATATTTGCACATAAACATTATAGTATTTTCGCTCATTTGAATCTTCCTTCTTTATCTTGGAATATTCCTGCTTCTTTCTGGCTCCACTACAGCATTTTTCATGAGTAATATCCATATTGAATCGGCTAATACTGTCACAAATAACAGAACGATGTCACCGCTCTGTTGCTGTGGTAAAATGATCTTACTCACCCCAGGCTCCCACGTACAGCTTATTTCTGCAAAGCGCGCACCCCACACATACGTAATTCATAATCTAATTACGAAACCAAAAAGTTTTTTGTTTTGTTTTTCCTTTTAGCTTGAGGCGAAAAGATACAATTGTTTATTAATAAAGCGTTTCAATTTGGGTTATTCCTCAGTAAGCTTCAATTGACGAAGCTAGAATAGATTCAAAATAGCGCTGTGGATTCTCCCGCTTCAGTAGGGCTCGAGTTTAGACGGTTGTCAGGGGCGACGGTCCACCATACTTCACCTTGAACGCAGGTCATATATTTTTGGTGGGGGATTTATTTTGATAATCCATACAAACACGCTTGTATCGTGGAAATGCAACGTAAATAACTTCAAGTAATTAAGTGCAGAAAATCACACCAAAACATGGCTCAGTGGGAAAAGTGTTTTTTCCTAATTCTCCCTTAAGGTAATAGCATGGACAACATGGAACCTCGAGGCGGAATAAACATCCACAACAATTCATAAAAGAAAAATAATAAACAGATCAATTACTTATCTGTGCCGTGCTCAGCCAAAACCGATTTATTTTGCAGTGAATCAGGAATCGCTTAACAGTCATTTTCTTGTTAAAAACTGACTTAATTAAAATAGAGTTGCCTAGTTCTCTCTGTATGGTCCTTTTAGCTCAAGTCAACTTAACCTTCGCTATATAAAAATCTGAAAAATAAATTGTGTTAAACTTGCATGATTACAAGATGGTTATATTTTATAATAAAAATATATTTATTTATCATATAATTATCTATGAAATACCTATGTTTCTCCATTTCATAAAGTTGATATTTTCACTAGTGAAAAAAACGCATTCGAGGTTTCTCTATATAGTGGAAGCCGGTTTTGTACTTTTTGTGGAATGGATTTCTCATGCCAGCAACCAGTGTAAATTAAGTTTTGTAATTTAACTAATGAGCAAGCTTGTGAACATTTTTATTATTATTATTTAATGGAAATCAAGGATTTTTGTGACTTTCCGGGTCCTTTATAAGATCTTATAAGAGTTAGAACGACTGTTATCATGTCGTCTGCAAATTTAGTAGTAGATAACCATAAGAAAAAGCTAAACTTTGGAATTGTGCTGAAACGTAACCCGCGCAGGGTAGAAGTGCTCATAGGACTGCATATGTGTCTATAGTGACATGGAAAATTGTTGCACGGTCATGTCGATATATGGAGAATGCATGCACAGACCTTAGCCAATCAGAAGCAAGTATGAATATGAATACAAATTACATGAACAAGGGCGCCAATATGCGTATATTACGCAGTAAATCAAAGACATGCTATGAAGGCTTTTGAATGCAGAATTACAACTGTAGAAACGAATTTTATGGCATTTGTTTTTCTACATAACACTTTAAATACACCACTTTATCACACTTTGACTAAGTGATTTAACGGAACTAAGAACGGCGTTTTTTGTAAATTTAAKTAACCGCGATATCTAGCCCCTTAGTAAATGAGGTTCCAAACCATCTCCGATAATTCCGAGTTTATAGAGTGCATCAGTCTTTATCGAAAACTTCCGTTGAACATTGCCAGCCCTGCTTCCTTTGTAAAGATGTTGCGAAATGACCCGTGATAAAGTTGATGACATAAAGATTTCAATGGGGAGAAAATTCTTAACTCGTTGACTAGCTGTCATGCATATTTTGCCGATTAAAGCTCATTTTTATGACAGTTCAAGTGTATATTAAACACTGAGAAGTCATAGCCACACGTTAGTATAACCCCAGGGTGTGTGCTTCAACTATCATCAGCCATCGCGCAGGGGCATTTGAGGGCTTGAGGAAGTCTAAACCTTGAATGTAAATGTTCAAAATGACCTTGGGTAACTGAATTTTCATGAATTATGTATCGCATTTTGAAATATCACTCAAAGATGCCCACAAAACTCAATTAAAAGTAAGGAAATTTGGTATAGTACATCAATATTTTAATGATTTTAGTAAGTCCAATATTGTGAGCGACTCTAGAAACTGACCAGTTTTAATGGTTTTCAAATTAACGGTTCATGTACAGGAATGTTAGCGCTTTTTTTTCTTTAGCGCTTTTTTTTCTTCAGGAATAAAAGTAGAATACTGTGTAGACGTTCATAGTTCAATCTCGCAACCATGCTGTAGATAGCCTTTCTGGTTTGCCTCCTTGGCAGCCGGTTTGATGAAAAGGGATTGGGTTAGGTTGGGAGGGCACCTCAGCACGGAAGAGTCCCATATGAGGAGTGAAGGTTGTAAAATATACAAATTTAAAAATATTTATAGGATTTTGCTAGAGTTAGGGCATTTTCAAAAGTTTAATTTAAAGGCATGAAAATATAGAGAAATGGTAGTTTTCAGGCGAACCTTTTGTCAATCGACTGTATTCCTTAGTCTATTACTAATGACTTATAGGTCGCCATGAGTCTAAAAACCTATTAACTTTTCCTTGTTTTTCGGCTATCAATGTTATAATAATTTGGCGTTGACAAAGAACCTACTTCAAGATTCTTGTGTAGGCACTCAACTAGGTCGTCTTTTATCGTCATTCCACATTTAGGTACATCCCTGATAGTCGAGTACAGTCAACAAACTTGACAAAATTAGTGCGCAATGGTTCTGAATTCTCGTAAAAATTATCAAATATCATAACCAAAGTAGAGTTCAGTTTCATACGGTCATTTCTTTTGCTATTACACTGCGCATCTGAAACTACTCTTTTCTGTATAAATATTAATTAGATTTGCTTTTTGCTATCCTAATTTCCAAGATTAAACGAGCTGTTTTATAGCAGAACGTAATTATCACAACGCGTGCGAAAGATGGAYCCTYTAATGACAACCAAATTATCAGATTCAGCATAGTCCTCTTTGSTTATAATACCTAATATTGTTGCATTTTGACTCGAAACCCATCATTCATATAAAAGACTTAGTCCTACAACTAAATGAGTTTAACCATATCTTAAGACTAAAGATTGCTGTAGTCTTTCTTATAGTTTGAAAGGACTTTGAATTTCCTACAGCATTCCATCAGTAGATTTTGTGCAATTACTTGATTATGAGGGACCCGGCGCGTCGAATTAAGAGTAAATTAGCGTTATCTTTTCCTGGATTCCATATCATTTCAAATGGTKGATGTGGTAATTGACTATTAATATGAAGCATCAGGTCACACGTCCGATAGTGRCACGGGATTAGTATTGGCTTTGCAGTAAAGGATGGTTTGAAAATTATACTCCAACAGAAAAATCTCGTTAAAATCTTTCTCATTTTGCCAAATAAAAAATGCAGTTGCATGCACCTTGCAGTGAATACAATTCAGGATTGACTGACTGCACTACTTCTGACTGCACTACTCTTTGAATTTGACAATAGTRCTATTCAATAAGGCAATTGTCATTGTGTGAAATTGCTGTTTTTCACTCCGCCTACACCACAATGCCTTATGCAATAGCTGCAATTCTAGGCATTCAAGGAATGCACTGCCCACCTAAAACTTTTATATCTTTATACAAATGGAAATACTATTGAAAAACATYCAAGCTTTTACGACGCGGAAACAGACTCCAGTGAATACATTTTGCGTGACATTTTAACGCATTGTGTCAATGAACACTGATATTGATGATACTGATTCACAAACCGAGCTTAAAAWCCATTCTACAGCGGATATTAAGGCCTAATGAACAAGTAGACGCTTTGTAAACTTTTGTAAACCACAAAAAATATCTTCCCCTGACATCAATATGCAAGAAAGACGAATGCATTTTTCAAGAAGTGAATTRATGCTGAATATAATGCAATGTGACGTCACTTTACTTGCAATTACATTTAATTGTTATATTGCAATGCTAATCAAGGACTCCACCCAAAAYCTTAAACATGTAATTATCGACGCGTGAGGGACGCTCTCTTTTGTTGACCAACATGAAATTATTTCACTTCAGTGAATTCCTAAAGTGATACAACGTCGAGATTTATTCGTTGYTTTCTTTGGCATGTAATAAAAGTTGTGTAATTCGATTGACGAGAAGGCAAAAGTGTGGCGTAATGTCAATTTACGACGAAAGCAAACTTACTGTAAGGTTTCACTGCCGTGGTTCAAAAACTCACGACAAACAGTTAGAGCATTCAACTTAACCTTGGACCGAATTGAAATTGTGTTTTGAATTAAAAGAACTATAGTTGGAAGGTGTGAGGAATAGACGCAAAAAGTGATGTTTGTGGTAAATCTCTTTGCTGTCCCCCAGTTACTCACACATTGCGTAAAACACATTAACTTTTCTATGGATTTCCAGTAGTGAAAAGATAATAATATTTCGATAATTCAATGAAAAAAAACTCAAGTTTATCAAATGAAAATGTTGGGCAATAGTTGGTGTTTGTTTGAGCGCATGCTCGTAAGTTACTGGGGCGTTAATCCATTTAATTCCATTACAAAATTGCAACATCCATCGCGCCAAAGGCCATTACTGTCATGTAGCATTCTGCTCTACTAGTCAACACAAAAAAGTAAATAATAGTTTCGTTCAATTGAAAATTAAACAATCCAACGAGTTTGTGAAAGCTGACTACAAATACCAGTTAGCAATAAGTTGACAGTTTGCTTTGCAATAAGTTTTCCGTTATGCAGTGTTATTTCATTAGCAATACTGAAAAGAAACTTTGCAGCTTTGAACAGGAAAGGTTTTCAACAATGCAGGAAGCTTAATTGAATGTCCAACCCTCCTATTCTTGAACTCAATACAAGTTTTGTCATTTTTTTATGTCGAAAACAAAAGCATTTGAACTAACATTTCTGGTTGAGTGAATACCTATTCTACGTCTGTTTTTAATTCTAGCATTAGGGCGAAAAACGAGAAGAGTTTTTGCTGTAAAATTACGAGGTGCTGTCGCGTATGCAGAGAGCACGATATTTGTTGTGTTTTATAAAGATTTATGTTAAAGTGTGTTTATAACACTGCTAGATTACAGGAAGTTACGATAAGGGGYTTCCTGCGAAAGTTTTCATGGATTCATCACTCGAGTCATTGGCACAGTTTGATGAACAATGGTTTAATTGAGTACAATTCACTGTTCTTTTCAACAACATGTGCTAATGTGCTGAGTAAAGTAGTGTAAAGAAATGCTAATCGCTGTTATTGACAACGTACAGAACTAAGGATTTATCCTTAATTGGTTAATTACGTGATTGGTGGCAACTAGACCACCCCTCGCACTCTAAACTATAGCCCTCATTCTCCCGCCATCACCTTGTGTACCAACATCGAGACAATACAGAGAAAACAGAATGTAATGAAATCCATTCAGACTCTGTTAACACTTTTATTGGCCGTTGGTTGACAAGCTGATATCTTAGGGGCTGCCAAGGGCTATAAAAGACGAGCCATTCAATCCACTGACATTCACTCGTTCAACTTGGGCTTTAGACGTGACTCTACTCTGAATATGGATCAAACCAAAACTACTGAAAGAGCAAACTCGGGATTCTCGATTTCTAGCATAATGGGTTTTGCTGAGGGTAAAGACAAATGTGGCAAAGACGACGACACACTCGGTCAAAATGGTAAGCTTTTAATTGCAAGGAAAACATTGCCAGTTGAGCCTCTAATGCAAGAGCAGTTTTTTTTTTTAATTTCAATTGCGTAAGTTAAGTATAAATCTACTTTTTTTTTGCTATACGGGAAGAAATATAGAACTTGGCAACAGTTTGGAAAACTAAGAAATTATAAATTGCAAGGAACTTAGGAATTGATAGGTAAATCGCGAAGGTTAAGTTGCGCGCAATTCAGTATTGACCAATAAGCATGCTGAAATGGATGATACGTTAGACCTAGTTTTTGCTAGAAGAACATCATTTCACTAAACGATTTTCAAATAAATACGGAGCGACTATTTAGATTTTGAGCAACAAATGTTACAATAACTGAAGATTGCTTTCTGAAAGTCGAAATTTGTCTTGTTTAAACTTTAAAAAAGTCGTATTTTTATAAAGATTTATCTCATCGTTTCTACCATTTTGAAACATCTCACACGGACAAATTATACAGCCCCAGTAGCATTCTTATTAGTAAAATTTGAGAGAAATAATTTATATCATGAAAAAAGCCAGCAAATGACACGTGCTCCATATTTCCAAATGTGAAGTTAGAAGCGTTTCAATTAATTGTCGTAGTCTTTAAAGTTAAAAATTGCGTTATGTGGGGTCGAATTACTTGTGCCAATTAAGAAGGAGGGATATATTGGATTTGAGTAATTAACGTATGTTATTCACAAACTATAATTAATAAAATTAATGTTTGCTGTGCACTAAGCCTTCATTTTGCATATTATGCCATAATTTGCCTAAAAAGTCTGCAATCTTTCAAGCATCATTTACGTTCGATTCTRACTGGGATAAATTGTTATAATACTGAGATGCAGTTCGAAGGAAACTCAGTCAAGAAATTGCTGTTTAGACATGCATGACAACAATTCTAATTGCAGATTAATTCCTATTGTATTGCTACATGCTTTGAATTTAACTCATCAATTTYCTTGTCYTTTTAGTAAAACAAAGTCCAAAACCAACGACRCTGACAATCAAGTCTGATAAAGTSAAGAAAGTTAAGCGTTTATCGAACGATCAGTCTGATGGGAAACGTTACAGAGCAACCTTTGACAAAGCACAAATCTTCCACATGGAGCGAGTCTTTCTTATCAACCATTATCCAGACGTAGCCTCGAGGTCTGAGTTGTCAAAAGCTACTGGACTAAGTGAATCTCAAGTTCAGGTAAGAAGTGCTTTTGGCATTTCTTGACAAARGAAAATTTAGCTGTCCATTTTAGTCGGGTTCTTTATAGTTTTATATCTGATGTTCTTTTATATATTATATTTTTTTTGTGCCTAAATATGTTGTACTTTATTAACGCCATGGTTGTTAATTYGTTGCCATCTTTTTTCTTTAGATTTGGTTCCAGAACAGACGTGCCAAATGGCGCAAACAACAGCGCAAGCGCAGACAAGATATCCCACCAATCTTTGGACTAGGTTACCCGACACACCTTGCACGCCTSTACCCTGGACTCACCGATCCTTATGGGATGTTCCCTTACGAGTACTACAATACTGACTTCTGGACATGCGCACAACAACAGATTGCTGCTATGCACTACTCTGGTCTTAGTGCTCCACCGCTTGGCTCTTGCATCCTGACGCCGCCAAGGAGTGGTGATTCCCAGTCACCTCCAATCATTTCGCCAGMATCATCACCCAGTAGTTCYCCAACTAGCTCTAGTGTCAGTAGTGGCTTGGAGACGAGTCCAGTTGGTAAGAATGAAAAAGAAGCCATGGAAATAAGAAACGATGCCAGTTTGTCGACTTTGCGCATGAAGGCAAAAGAACATGTAGCGGCATTGGAAKCGAGTGCATCATCGTAAATTTAGCCGAGTACATATCGATTGACGAGTCAAATGCCCGAGGAAATATCGATTGAATAAGAATGAATATTGAATTTCTGAAATCAGAAATGTTGAAAACAGAAAGTGATGGAATTATTTATTGAAGAAATTATCCTAGAGGAGATTGCACTATTTTATTATATACATAACTGTCAGCCTTTATGGAATCTAAAAAAAAAATATTTTTGCTTGATATAGACGCATTATTTATACAAGAGTAAGAGTGTATTTTTATRACGTGCCTTTATATTCTAAAAAATTACCTTTGTAAGATGTACATATTTTAACTAAAAAGTTTAAATAAAAACCCATTGAATTTTTTTTAGTTATTGTGTCAAGTTTGATAAAGTAGCCAATTGTAACTCTTACAATGGAAAAAAAGAAATTGAAAAATTAATTTTATTCTGACAATCTTGGTTTAGATTGCTTTAAAGAAGTGTCAGCTTGGGGAATGTGACTTGTTCCCAGTTTTCCCTCTTTTTTCTCGTTTGTTATTCCCTTGATGCTTTGCAGGCAGAGAGAGACTTCTAGAAATAAGCAAGAGGCATAAAAGTAACAGCAAAAGCAATTGAAAAACAGTCTTTGGATGCTTTTGAATAAATGGATGAWATAGYAGGCAAATGAATGAATGGAYAAATGAAAGAAAAAATAAATGAATGGAAGGATGAATTAATGATCAATTGATGGATAAATAAACAATTAATAAATGTATGACTAATAAAAATGACATAATGCATGATTAGATGGATTAAATGAATGAGGAAACGGCAATGAAATGATTAGTGGATAGCCCACTTTCGATATCTGGTTGACTATAGCAACATTGTACAGAAAAGAAATGAAGCAAGGCTCTTGGTAAATAATAATAGATAATCCTTTTATTTCCCCCAAGTCTCGTCTTCACTTCTTTTGTGTGTGGCTAGTCAACCAGGATATTGAAAGTGGACTGGTTATTATTACTATGCAAATATCAATGATAAAAATTAAATTAACAATCACTGTAAAAACTGGGTAGAAGTTTAATAGCAATGATGAAAAATACCAATTACATATACCAAAGACTTGTAACAAAATATTTATAGATTAGTTCTCTGTCTYATGATATCAA